AACTGCCTATCCCCTCTCCCCTCAGCTCCCGGCAACCACTACTCTACTGACTGTCTCTATGATTTTTGAGCACTCGTACTGCATGTAAGTGAAATCATACAGTAATTTGGGTTTTTGTCACTGGCTTATTTCACTTAGCATAATGTCCTCAAGGCTCATCAATGTTGTAGCATATTGCAGTTTCCTTCCTTTTTAAGGCTGAATGATATTCCATTGTATGGACATACCACATTTTGTTTACCCATTCTTTGGGGTGTATACCCAAGAGCGGAATTGCTGTATCATTTGGCAGTTCCATTTTTAATTTTTTGAGGAACAGCCATACTGTTTTCCAGTGGCTATACCATTTTACATTCCCAGCAACAGCGCACAAGGGTTCAAATTTCTCCACATTCCCGAAAACACTTGTAATTTTCTGTTATTTTTTAAAATAGTAGCCATCCTAATGGTTGTGACTTGGTATCTTGTAGTTTTGATTTGCATTTCCCTAATGATTAGTGATATTGAGCATCTTTTCATAAGGTTTTTGGTCATTTGTACATCTTCTCTGGAGAGATTTCTATTCAAGTCCTTTGTTTTTGAATTGTTTTGTTGTCCTTGTCATTGAGTTGTCGTCATTTTTAATATATTCTAGATATTAATTCCTTATCAGATATATGATTTGCAAATATTATCTCCCATTCTGTGGACTGCCTTTTTATTTTACTGATACTGGCTCTGCACAAAATTTTAAGATTTTCATGAAGTCCAATTTGTCTAATTTTTCTTTTTCTTTTTGGCCACACCATGCAGCATGCAGGATCCTAGTTCCCTGGCCAGGGACTAAACCCGCACCCCCTGCAGTGGAAGCGTGGAGTCTTTTTTTTTTGTTGTTAAATCTATGAACCAATCAGGATTCATGAATTTCTTTTCATTAGTATTATTTGGCTGCGTTGGGTCTTCGTTGCTATGCACGGGCTTTCTCCAGTTGTGGCAAGTGGGGGCTACTCTTCATTGTGGTGTGCGGGCTTCTCATTGCGTTGGCTTCTCTTGTTGCAGAGCATGGGCTCTAGGCGTGTGAGCTCAGTAGTTGTGGCTCGTGGGCTCAGTAGTTGTGGTGCACGGGCTTGGTTGCTCTGCGGCATGTGGGATCTTCCCAGACCAGAGCTCGAACCCGTGTCCCCTGCATTGGCAGGCAGATTCTTAACCACTGCACCACCAGGGAAGCCTGGAAGCATGGAGTCTTAACCCCTGCCACTGGACCACCAGGGAAGTTCCTATTTTTTCTTTTGTTTCCTGTGCATTTTGTGACACGTCCAAGAAATCATTGCCAAATTCAATGTTCTGAAGCTTTAGTCCTATGTTTTCTTTTAAGAGTTTTATAGTGGGTTTTGTTTGTTTTGCTGCATTGCACGGCTTCTGGGATCTTAGTTCCCCAACCAGGGGTCGAACCTGTGCCCTCGGCAGTGAGAGCATGGAGTCCTAACCACTGGACTGCCAGGTTACTCCCTATACTGTTAAGCCTTACATTTAAGTCTTTGATATATTTTAAGTCAATTTTTGTATTTGGTGTTAGGTAAAGACCCAACTTCATATTTCTGCATGTGGATATCTAGGTTTCCCAGCATCATTTACTGAGAAGACTCTCCTTTCCCCATTGAATGATCTTGGCACCTTTGTCAAAAATCATCTGGCCAGGGACTTTCCTGGTGGTCCGGTGGTTAAGAATCCGCCTTCCAATGCATGGCACATGGCTTCGATCCCTGATCAGGGAACTAAGATCCCACATGCCACAGCGCAACTAATCCCGTGCACCACAACTACTGAGCCCACCCACCACAACTAGAGAGAAGCTTGTGTGCCGCAACGAAGATCCTGTGTGCTGCAACTAAGACTCAATGCAGCCATAAATAAATAAAAAGTAAAAGATTAAAAAACAAAAATCATCTGGCCATATACGTGAGGGTTCACTTCTGGGCTCTCTATTCTATTCCATTGGTCTATATGTCTGTCTTTAAGCCAGTAGCACCCTGTTTCGACTAGTTTTTGCAGTAAGTTTTGAAACTGGGAACCGAAAATCATCCAGTTTTGTTCTTTTGCAGGATTGTGTTGACTATCAGGATCCCTTGAGATTCCTTATGAAATTTAGTATAAGTTTTACAATTTCTGAGAAAAAATCATCAGGATTTTGATCGGGATTGCACTGAACCTGCAGAACACTTTTGAGTAATATTGGTGTTTTAATGGTAAGTCTTCCAGTTAGTGAACACAGGAGGTTTCCACTGATTTCTCTTCTTTCTTTCAGAACGTCTTGTAGTTTTCATTGTACAAGTCTTTCTCCTTCTTGGTTATTTCCTAAGTATTCTATTCTTTTTGGTGCTATTGTAAATGTAATTATTATTGTAATATGGTGGGGGGGGTTGTTTGTTTTTTTGGCTGCACCACACAGCTTGTGGGATCTTCACTCCCCAACCAGGGATTGAACCCAGGCCCTGGCAGTGAAAGCGCTGAGTCCTAACCACTAGACTGCCAGGGAATTCTCTGTAATGTTTTCAGATCATTCATTCCTCATGTATGGAAATGCAACTGCTTTTTGTGTGTTGACTTCTAATCCTGCTACTTTGTAGAATTCACTTGTTGGATCTAACAGCTTTTTGTATGTGGTGTCTTTACGATATTCTACACATAAGGCCATTCATCTGCACACAGATGAGTTTCCTTTTTCCTTTCTAATTTGAGGCCTTTCCTTTTTCTTACCTACTTGCTCTGGCTGGAACTTTCAGTACTATGTTGAATAGAAATGGTGAAAGCAGGCACACATCTTTGTCTTGTTCCTGACCTTAGAGGAAAAGCTTTCAGTCTTTCACCATTATTATGTTTGCTGTGGGTTTCTCATATAGATATTATAAATATTAAGGTCTCCTATTCCTATTTTGTTGAGTGTTTTTTCATGAAAGGGTGTTGAATTTCGTCTCGTTTTTTCCTGCATGATTTGAGATGATCATGTGGTTTTTCCTATCATTTTGTTGATGTGGCATGTAACATTGACTTTCCTGTGTTGAACTTTGCATTCCAGGAATATATCCCACTTGGTTATGGTGTATAACCCTTTTTTTTTAAGGCTAGTTTTTTAAAGTTTTAAAATTTATTACTTTTGGCTGCATTGGGTCTTCATTGCTGCATGTGGGCTTTCTCTAGTTGAGGCGAGTGGGGGCTACTCTTGGTTGCAGTGCACAGGCTTCTCATTGCAGTGTCTTCTCTTGTTGTGGAGCATGGGCTCTAGGCACATGGGCTTCAGCAGTTGTGGCACACGGGCTCAGTAGTTGTGGACAGTGGGCTCTAGAATGCAGGCTCAGTAGTTGTGGCACACAGGCTTAGTTGCTCTGTGGCATGTGGTAACTTCCCGGACCAGGGCACGAACCCACGTCCCCTGCATTGGTAGGCGGATTCTTAACCACTGTGCCACCAGGGAAGCCCTAATCCTTTCAACATGCTGCTGAAACCTGTTTGCTAGTATTTTGTTGAGGATTTTTACATCAATGTCCAAAGGATATTGGTCTTTACTTTTCTTACTTCGTAGTGTCTTTGTCTGGCTTTGGTATTGGGGTTATACTGGCCTTCTAGAGTAAGGTGGGAAGCGTTCCTGCCTCTCCATTTTGGGGGGGAAAAGTTAGGATACAGTGCTCTGTTATATGTACTACACTGCCACCCTCTAAGAGTTGCACAGATAGAATTCAGGCAAGATTTTGCAATGAATCTTTTGTCATTTCTCAATGGTTCTTTCTCCACCTTTCCTCTTCTGGTCACTAAAATACACTCACACACAATCATTCTTGGCTTTGTGACCAAGATTAATATATCTCTGATGAAACCTGCTTTGAAGATCCAGTAGTTGAGCATGGGAGCCAGATGGGGCTTCTTGATCCCAATAGTGTGTGATGCGGCCATCCAGCCCACAAGCCAAGTTGCAAGTCGTGGGCCTGAGCAGGGGCTGACATCAGGAATTCCACTTATCCAGATGGAAGGACCAGCCTACGCAACACAGATGCCACCATCATGCTGGTCACGGTATGAACACAGCTGGCTGCTCTTCTGCTGTGGCTCAGCACCCGCCCACCAGCCCCCACCCCACACCGAATGTTTGCCAGCTTCAGGGGCATCTCTCCCCATTGCATTTCACTAATTTTTGCAGAACCTGCATCAAGCACGTTTCCAAAGCCAGTGCATGCGCCATCTGCATGCAGTGGAGGCACAGAGGGGAATTTTATGTTTGGGGCTGAGTGAAGAGGCTTTATTGGACACTTGAGAGTTCCTTCTATACACATTCTTCCCAGAACACTTACTTTAAAAAGCTGTACCTAGTAATGTCATGCTCCATGTTGAGGGCTGCTATGCTATAACATAAAATACGTACAGAAAACAGTGTTGCAGGGACCTGCATTCTATAAAACTGGGAACCGTTGTCCAGAGCTAAATAAAATGTATTGTAGGCTACATTTTTTTCCTTCAGTTACTGAAAACCTATTTTTTAAAAATAGATGTAAATTAGATTGCTTCCACATTTACCAGGAACACTTGGATTCTGATCTCAGCAGTAGTTGTATAGTGACTGCATGTCATCTTGGATTATGTGGCACAATGAGACGTCCCACATCCGTCTTCCACCAAAGATTCCTCAGAGCTGTGAAGGGAAGGGAGTTCTCTTAACACTGGTCTGATTACCTGTGTGCACTTCACGGAGGGTAAGGGGAGACGGTGAAAGGCTGAGTCAGAACTGCTTCCCACACACCATGTCCAGCGAAGTGCCTGGTTAGACAGAGCTTAAGTTTTCTCAGGGAAAGAAGCTGCTGCTTGGATGTTTCTAGAGGTGAGTCCTTGGGCACCCAAGCACCCACCCCCAGGGGAATGTGACAGTACCTTCCATCTGCCCTCTGCACCTGGGGGACAGAGAATTCACTCCTGACACCTTGCATGGCCGAAATCTGGAAGATGGGCCAATCTGCATAGTTCCTGTTCTAGAAGGGAAAGAAGCATGATTCCCTCCACCCTGCCTCCAACCCTCGTCGCACCAAGATTCAGAGTTTCAGAAACCAAGGCCTGGTGGCAGGGAAGGCTACCAAGACTCTTGCACTAAGACACTGCACTGAGAGTGTGTGTGTTGGAGGGGGGGGATTAAAAAGGGAAGGTGCCCCGAGATCTAGGAAAGCTGGAATTCTGCTGCCATCCTGCTAGACTTGGCCAGTTTGGTGCTGTTACCACTGCAAAGCAGGGGTTCCTCCCAATGCAAGCAGAAGACATGTTTCTTCAACGTGAATGCTACTGCAGCGCCATGAATTTTCATGCAAAACTGAGACGTCATCTCTTCAGCCTCTGAGGGCATGAGTGTGAGTTCTGGTCTCGGCCTGGCAAGACAGGAGCATCAGAAACGCCCAGGAGGCATCCAGAAAGACAAGGCAATGTATCCAAGCACGTGGAGCTTGAGGCCTGCAAACAAGCCAAGCTGGGGAGGGAGGTTTGGAAACAAAACAAAGAAGCCCTTAACGGGACCTGATGGGTCTTTGTTGACCACTGGCCTTGGACTGTGTGATGCTTTGTTGCATCTTTTCATCTCCTCCACACTGTTTATCCCGGATGTCTGAGTCCCATCTCCTCCGAGGGGGCTCCTGAGACCCCACGACCGGCTTAACCAGGTGGACTGTGGCTGCAGCTCGGGAATCTCAACATAGGAGGTTATAAGGAGTCCACGCCTGAGGATCACACTAAGCTTCACTTTCCAGAATGAAAACAACTTGTCAACATTCAGCTTCCTGTTCGGGTTTTACTCAAGTCTAGTGCTGGATGGTATTCAAATTAATGCAGAAGAGCCACACAGGGTACTCATGTTCCAAAGACAAAACCTGAGAGAGAAGGCTGTTTGTGCCTCTGCTTTCCCAACAGGATTTTGGGGTTGCAGAGATGTTTGCATAAATAAGGCTCTTCAGGTATATCCTTGGTGCTCTGGGTTCTGATCAACAAATTTCACTTCTAACAGGCAGACTTTGATCTCCTCCTTTCATCTTCATGTCCCAAAGACATGAAAACCTGGCCACGTGTACAATTCAGTCACGTCTGTGGGCCCACCCTGCAGAGGCCCAGCCAGCTCCAGCCAGGGGCACCTACAGTCCTCCTCTGCACATCCTCAAGAGGTAGACTGTGTGCATCTCCACCAAAGGACATGACAGAGCCAACTGCCCCCCCAGTCCCTTTACTTGTCACTGAAACCAAAGCCCTAGGAAGGCAGCATCAAGAACTGGGACTCGTGGAGCACATACCATGTGCCAGGCTCTGCTAAGTGCTGCCACACGTACCACCCAGGCAGTCCTCCCAGTGACCTCTGAGGCAGATGCTACCAGTATCCCGACCACGGAGAAAACGGAGCAGAGGCCACTCAGCCACCAAGTGTCAGATCCAAGCACTGAACCCAGGGCAGCAGGTTTAAGAGTCAAATGGCTGAAAAGCCCTTCTCTTCCGCCTGTCGGACCTGGATAACTCGGGGCTCCACCCTCCTTGTATGCAGAGAATCGTGTCTTGTCTTCTTTCTGCTTCTCCCACTCACCCTCAAACCCGGGTTTTTTCCAGTGATCCTAATGCCCAATGTCTGTCTGGTTTCTTGGCTCCACATCTGTTTCTTCTCTGCTTTTCTCAGGCACAGGGTGAGAAAGAGCCTCAAAGCCACTCCCGCGTTTGCTGCTTGTCTTCTCCTTCCTCTGAGCAGCAAGAACGTCTGCCTTCAACCTTGGGGCAAACCTCAACAGCAGTCCACTGCTGGCGGATCGACACGTGCTTCAGTCTTGCCTAGCAGGTCTCGAGGACCGTGGCTCTCCCCGAGAGGCTGACGCTCACATTTCAGGGCCTTGGGGACTGGGTTATGGGCAAATGCGCTCTTCACCAGGAGAGGCGGGAGCAGTGGGACGAACGTGAGCCCTGATGCAGCCGCAGGAGCAAGCGCAGTGAGGCACCGGGAGGGGAGGCTGTGCGCAAGCGTGGACCCTGCCCACAGGGCTGTGGCTTGAGTGGCCTCTTGTGCTGAGGGGTCCTGGACAGAAGCAAGCCTGCAGGCGGGTGACAAGTGGGGGGCTAGGGAAAAGAGGGGTGAATGTGAGTCAAACACTTAGCAAGGAGCCTTTGCCTCTAACAGAGGTAACATCTCAAGGTAAAAATGCAGATTCAAAGCTGACCTGCAGGTGCCCCAGGCGGGGAGCTCAGGCCTCCTCCTCGGCTGCTGCTGCCGGTCTTGGTCTCAGCTCTCCTCTACCACGGAATAACCTTGCAGCTTCCCCTGCGTGTCTCACAACAGGCTTAGCCAACCCTTCCCAGGGCATCATCCCCTACCATCGAAGTCCTGTTTAAACTCGGCTCCAGGGTCCGGTGCCAGAGTGACGGCCACCCCCAGCCAAGCCGCAGCTTCCATCCACAGCCTCAGCAGCGCGCCCGCCTCAGCTCAGCCAGAACTCAGTGGGACCACCAGACCCTTTTCACCTAACCCACAATCCTGTAGATTATTAACATTTTAAATCTCAAACATAGGAGTTTGTGTGTATTCCTGTCAAATTTCATCTGATAGATTTTGGTTTTTCATCTCGAACTGTCTTTAAAAGGCAAATTGGAGCTCTACTTTGTCACATGACGCATTATTCTTTCCAGTGTTCCATTCTACATAGCTCTGATAACCTTCAATTAAGCGTTGAGCAAATTCTGAAACGCGACCTTCAGATACGGGTGTCCACACCTCTCAACAGGCTGGTGTTGAGCCCACAGGCAGGCAGACGATGGGGCAGTTCACTTGCTCAGGCTTTCCCCATCTTTTACTCTAAAGCTTAGATACGTCACAGTTTTGATGGTGATGACTTGAATATGCTTTTTAAAACATATGATGAAAACTACTTACTTTTTATTAAAAAAAAACAACAGAAAACTATACGTATAACAAACTCTTGAACAGAAGATGCCGTAAGAAAATTTTAGGTATTCTGAACTTTACTGATAGGACTTGGAAGGCCAAGACATCAGAGGAAAACTCAAGGTAGAAAAACCCTTTTGAAGAACATGAAGTTTTTCAAGACTAAAAGTAACTTTCGTGGGCAGTGCTCCCCTGGAAGACTGTCAGTTTTTCTTTCCTATTGGCTGTTTTTACATGCTTAATATTCGCTCATCTTCAGCTTTGTTCTTTGGCTGCTCAGATGGCCCTTTCTAAGATATCCATAGTCAGAGTCCCTTTGTTCTGTCTTCAGTAAGTTTAAGTTGTAGGACATCTGGTTGCTAATGAGCTCCACCTGCAGGTCACTGGTTTACTATGAAAGGATGTAACCCGGGAACAGCCAGATGGAAGAGGTGCACAGGGCGAGGGACCGGGAAGGGCACGGAGCTTCCCCGGATCTCTGAGCAACCACTCCCCAGCTCCACGTGTCCAGCAGCCTGGGAGCTCCTTCCATGTGCTCTGAGGAAGCAAAGTTCTATGCCCTTTGAATGAAATGAAAGGTGAGCTGGGTGCGTCCTGTATTCAGTTTTGTCTCTTTTCACATCAAATGTGCAGCGTGCCTGCAGCTATTAGACGGCATCTGCACTTGTGAGGTGCCTGGGGCAGGTGCAGGGCTGTCAGGGATCAGCCGTCCCAGCACCGGCATTCCAGGGCCTGTGGAGGACATCCAGGGTCACGTTCCAGGCTCCTTCCTTTTACACCGTCTGTCTGATTCCTGGCCCCTCTTGTACCCTTACAAACCACTGTAACTCCCTCCTGTAAGAGTATGGAGCAAAACCAAAAAATGCTGGTCTGAGCAAAAAACTCCTGTTCCTGCCACTTAACTTCATAGAGAACTTAGGCTGGGGCACAGGCAGGAAGAAGGGTAAGCGGCATCGTGCACCAGCCTCTCCTACGGTCCCGGCTTCTTGCACTCACAGGGCCGGTGCACTCATCGCCTGCCACCATGCTTGCCCCTCGCAATTTGGGATCTGGGCACTTTCTGCAGTGTAGGCTCAGACGCAGTCAGTGGAGAAGACTGCTCAGTGCTGTCGGGTATTAACCATGGTGTTTATTTTCTGTTATGTTCTGACATCCTGGGGGCCTGTGGGCTGGGGAGAGACCCCTCCGCAAGCTGGCTAGCTCCCCGTGAGCGCACCACTCACACGCAGACCAGCCACGCCTGAGCCCTCCCTGGCCAGTGTCTCCTCTGCCCCAAGTCACCCCAGGGCCAGGGACTGGACAACTGGAAGCCACCCCTAGAGCCCGGAGCCTGCTGAAATGACCAAGCTGTCCGACCCCAGGCCTGCCCAGACGTGCTCACCCTACCTGGCCCACTCCGTCCTCCAGGAGCCACGAGACGGGTTCAGCCACGCTTCCTCCTCACCCTCGGCCTGCTGACAGACCCTGGCGCTCCTCGTGGGCCCCGTGCAGCGTGGTGCACCCCTCCTCTCGGGAGCTGTGAGTCAAGAACTCTTCTTTCAAGGTAGCAGTTTCCAACTCTGTCATCTTACCACACCTGATCAGGACACATCCCGTGTACATTTTAACACAGGTCAATCCTCCCTCTGGACATTTCTTCTCTGGTCATAAGCGGCTGTGTAAGCAACCCACACTCCTAATGCAGACAGCCCACACACAGGCTACATGCACCCTTCCGGGGCAGGATCCCACAAGCACCACTCAAACAGCAACATGCCTGGAGCATCCACAGGGTGGCCCGTGATGCCAGCCCTTCAGAGGGGGCCACTGTCCCGGCAAAGACGGAGCTTCTTGGTGCCATATCCCTGCTGGGGCATCACACCTGGTCCCAGATGCCGACAGGGAAAGTGGCATTTGGGGCTTGCCACTGCTGCAGAGGCAAGGCAACGCTTTCCTTCCTGAAACAGTTTACAAGAAGGGAAATTACACTCCCTGAAAAGCCACGTTACAGGTTTCCTTGTTTTAGCTTTGTAGCGTACCTTTCTCCAATCATCTGAACTTTATCATTTCAGTGTTTCAAGGTTAATGATAGTTGGGAAATGGAGCTGCCCCAAGCCCAGGACAACGTTTCTGTGTCAGAATTAAATGATTTATTTATTTCCTAACGAGGCTCATCTAACACGTGCTTTCTCTAGGAGACACATCACGGCCTCTTGCACTTAGGCACCATGAGTGAAATCTCTGTCAGAAGGCACTAACGTGGCGCTAACCCGATCAGAGAGGGTGGCTGTTCACAGCCCGAGATGAACAAAGCAGACAGAGCAGTGCCTTGTGTGACCACAGGCCACGTGTGCATCCCACTGGTCTGTCCGTGTCCGAGAATAACCATGAAAGTGCCACAAGTATGGATCTGGGGGCCGTGGACAAACTCTAGTGAGCAAGCAAACATGCAAGCCTGGAACCCCAAATATGGAGGGCAGATCATACGCCATCGACCTAAGAGATTTCACACCCTCTCCACAGCCTCGCCCCATCTCTCACTGCAGCACAGCAATAGGTCTGAAGGACTCAGAGATGACACCCGCACAGCTCAGCCTGCACCTGCACAAGGGTATCCCGGGGGGCACCAGCAGCACGGGTCTCGGTGTGCTCACGGGAGCGGGTCAGGACCCGCGATCCTTTCTCTCTGCCTCTAGTTCCTGCTCTGCCCCTGGAGCCCCCTTGCGTCCTGGGGTGTGCTCCTCGGGAAGGGCCCCGCCGTCCAGGGGCCCATCACTCCCCGTCTCCCACAGGCAGTCCTTGGGCGGGAGGTTGTCGTCCACGCGGGGCCTGGCCTCCCTCTTCCTCATCAGCTCAGCCGTGGGCTCCAGCCACGCTGGGCCCATGCTCCCACGCCCTTTCTCTCTCCTCCTCTTGTACTCCAGGATCTGCTTGTTGAGAGCCTCGTGGTCGATCCCACACAGACTCGAGGGTGCGGCAGGGCCCAGGGTATCACGCGGCGATGTAATGTCCAGGGCCTTGGGGGTGCTGGAGGGGAGAAGAAATCCACACCATGCACAATGCTTCCTACAGCCATTTGCTTATGCACTGTCCTAGCACCTCTCTAAGGGAAACTATGGAAACTGGACAGAAGGGGGATTTGGTCTGGCGTTCTCCAGTCCAGAACCTCTCGGCCAGCACTCTTGGAGCCCGTGTGTGGCTCAGGCCAGCATACTTCTGGTGCAGCCATTGTGTACTGACATTAAATGCGTTTTCATTTTTTCCCCACTTAAACATGGCTAGTACACTAGGCTAGTTAAACAGAATTATTGGGGGGACGGGGGAGGGTTCTTTAGATCTGTTGCTCAGGTTACTTGATGAACCAAAAGAGAAGAATCTATTCTGAGAGCAAAACCAGAGCAATCTTTTCAAAACCCAAATCTGGCCACATCATGCCTCTTACCCCAACTCTCTGATCTGGAAGGGCTCCCCACCCGCCTCTCCCCACGTCCACTCACTGCTGATCTGGAACCCGGGGACTCACTGCCGCCTGGGGCCTATGCTCTAGCTCAGGGGTCTGAGTGCTGCAGCCCATCCCCTGGCAGGCTGGCTGGGGGTCCCCACCCCGAGGCCCTGACGGTACCCATATGATGCTGACACAGTTGATCTATGGAACACAGGCCAGACACGTGGTGCAGCTGCTCCCTCACCTGGAATGGGGCTCCCCCCACCTCCGAATCCTCACGTCACCTTCTCAGAGGCCTAACCTGACATTTACTGTGCACAGATGTTCCCTAAGTACAAGAACAGGGCCTGCCAGGCAGCAGTGTGCCAAGGGAGTGGAGAGGATGAACCGCTACTGACAGCACTCAGAGTCCAGGCCCCAGCACTTCTGTGTGGACCCCCAAGGCCCTCCTGACAGCCTTGCCCAGGTGCTGGGTAGCTCACCAGTTGCACGCCGACACCGGGCTGGGCCCCAGGGCAAGAGCCAAGCGCACAAAGCAGGACCCGCTGCCCCTCGACACCTGGCTGGGGACAGGCAGGACTGTGCAGCTGCTGTGGAGACCAGCAAGTCCACACCTGGGTGTCTGCCCGAATCAAAAACATATGCCCACACGTATCACCTGAAATCATTTTGCTCAAAGTCTTTTTCATCCGGGGGTCCAAAATCAGCGATTGCCAGTAACCGATCAACCTGAAAAGGAACAGACAGAGGGTGATTCTCGAGCCACAGCACTGCTTGCGTCGGAGCTGGGCGCCAGCTGAGTGAGAGCATCCGCTGTCCGGTGCCAGCTCCACCACGGGCCTCAAGCCTGCCCGCCGTCCTTCCTTCCCGTGCCGCTGCCCACACCCGCTACCTCAAGCACACTTTCTCTGATAATGAACTGAGGCTTTTTGAAAACTACACTTAAAACTTGTAAATGTCAGTCAAATTTACAAAGAAACAGTTAAATATTAGTTGAATTACTAACGCTTACTGGTTTCTAACGAAGTTTCATAAAATGCTTCAATTTTGCCGCAGAATTTGCGGGGAAACCCCCCAGTGCGGTAACGTGAGTGTCCCAAGTCTAGCGTGTGGCTCCGGTCCTGCAGGGGCTGAGGGGCCTACGCTGGGGACAGACCCTGCTCCTCAGCAGGGCCCGTCAAGGGCCTCTCCACCTTCACGCGTCTCTTCTGACTGCCGCCAGGTCATCCTACTGGGGCCATGCACTGAGACCCGACCTCCTGCTTCAGTGCAAGCCCCGGCGAGCCTGGTCCACAACCGGGCCCTGTCATATGCAGGAACTAAAGCATCATCACCAACCGGTGACACACCAATCAAACCACAAAGGTGAAAAGAAGAACTGGAGACAAATCAGTCCACAGAAAATACCAGGAACAGGACTGACGATGCTACAAAACAAGGACAAAGTGGCCTCCTCCAAAGTTAAAAGTGGGAGAAAATATTCACAATGAAGATTTCTGCCAACTGACTTGTACCAGATATACAATGAACCTACACAACTCAATAATAAGCAAACCTTATTAAAAATGGGCAAGAGACTTTAACTGATCCACAAAAGGAGGAATGACCAGCAGGCACATGAAAAGACGCTCAATATAATTAGTCACCAAGAAAATGTAAGTTTAGGGGGCTTCCTGGTGGCACAGTGGTTAAGAATCCGCCTTCCAATGCAGGGGCTGCGGGTTCCATCCCTGGTCGGGGAACTAAGATCCCACATGCCACGGGGCAACTAAACCCGCACGCTGCAACTAGAGAGAAGCCCGCAACGAAGAGCCGGCATGCTGCAACAGAGACCCAGCGCAGCCAAAATTTAAAAAAGAAAAAAAGAAAATGCAAGCTTAAGCCATCAGGATGGCAACGCCAGGGGCTGGCGAGGGCGTGGAGGCCCAGGGACCCTGACGCTGCGGTGGGAGTGCCTACAGCACGGCCATGGTTAAAGCAGCCTGGCAGCTTTCTGACAGTTAAACATACGCCTGCTGCTCCTAGGAACTGACCTAAATGAAACAAAACATACATCCACAAACATCTGTACGCAAACGTTCACAGTGCTTCACTCTTTATAGCCAAGGACTGGAAAAAAGACAAATGTCTATCAAAAAGTGAATGGGCTAGTAAACTGCAGTACAGCTGTACAGTGGATACCGCTTACCAATAAAAAGGGAACTACTTACACATGAAACAACGTGGATGAAATCTCAAAAACACTGTGCCGAGCAAAGCCAGAGGCAAAAGACAACATCCCGATTCTATTCATGTGAAATTACAGGAATCTCAGCAGGCAGAACTAACCTACAGTGACTGAAACCAGATGGGTGGTAGGGGAGAGCTGACCGGGGTGAGCAGGGGTGGCGATGACACAAAGGTATGCGTTTGTCAAAGGAGGCACAACTCAACATAAATTAAGCCTCCGTAAAGCTTATTTTATTAAGAACCAAATCCAAACACAACCTCAAACTCTAACACTTTAAACACAGGCCGCCGGGCTAACTTCTTGTGTGGAAGGGGAGCTCTGGGCTCAGATGGTGCGGGCCAGACCATGCGCGGTGGGGCAGCGGGTGCCCCTGCGCGGTGGTCACCAGCTGCCCGACACCTGCTCTCAGAAGCCTGACAGTCAGTGGGGAGACGAGTGTGCATGTACCACAACACTGGTGTCAGAGTTTATGTATTTCCCTTAAAAATTCAGATAAAAAAGTTGTTTCCTCTATAGTTACAGTAAAAATCAACATTTAAAAAACCTCTTCACTGAAGTGCAACATCTATGGGAAAGGTACACAAACCATGAAGTGTAGCTCAGTGACATCCCACAAATTGAACACACGTGTGGGCACAGCCGCGACACTTAGAAGGTGAAGCCCAGAAGCCTCCTCAGGCCCCTCCTGCTCACTCCCCTCCCTGTGACAGCCATTACTTTTACTTCCAACACCAAGGATTAGCCAGGCTCTTCCTGAACGTTTTATGAACAGAAGCTCTCAGCGCGTGGCCTTTCCTTGGCTCCATGGCCGGTGGGAGGTGGGCCAGGGGACTGTTCCAGAGCACGTCCGTCCATTCTGCTAACTGCACTCGCCAGAGACCCTGTGCCAACGTTCCCGGCCGAGTCCGTGGGTACTGCGGGGGGTGGGGGTGGGAGGCCTCGAGGGTCACAGACTCAGCTTCCCTGGGGACGGCCAGTCTAGCGGGGCACTGTGAGCCGCCTTCCCGCCAGGCCCCAGCCCTCGGCGCTCACACCCTCACTCCTGTAAGGAAAGCCCTCACGGAGGGGTGCGCGCTGGAATCCGGTTGAGCGCCTCCGCGTGTGTTTACTGACAGTACCATCAATATTGATGAATTACTCAGGGTGCAGTTTGGACAGAGCTCATTACTAGTTCTCTTTCAAATGTCCAGACTGGTGACCTAAGGATTATCCTGAGGATGCAAGGTAAGCTGCTGAAACTGGTAACATGTTAGCAGTTGCAACTACCTGTGATTTTTGGTGCAACCAATATAAGACAGAAATAAATGGACTGATAGAAGACTCAAAGTTTCGTCCAGGACTCCCAATTTCAAATGTCTGTCTCTAGCCAAGTGCTTTATCAACAGCTGACTTTAAATCTATTAAAAACATACACAGTGTTTGAAAAACAATGCCCTGACTTACGCCAGGGGAAGCAATGACCATGTCCTCAAATGATCACCTACCCAAATCAGAAACCCCTCTGGTCCAGCCTTCACTTCTAACTACGGTGAGGCAGAAACTGCAGGACTCTGAGGCGCCAGCCGAGGCCTGACCGACCCTTGGCCCCCAGGTCAACAGCTGAGCTCTGGGCACATGCAGGACCCACCATCACCACGTGGCACGTGTCCGACCCGCGGCCACTTCCCCAGAGCACACGGGGCAGGACAGACGCTAGAGGTCTCCAATGCAAACACCCATCAGCACGGCCTCCGGAATAAGGCCCTCCCAGAAACGCTTAAGCTCGCATGCACCTCCCTCCCTCCAGTGACTTTTTCTGGAAAGGAACCCACACAGCCAGGTAGGACCTTGCAGCTCTGAATTCTTCCTCCACAGAGAGAGGGACGAGCCAGCTGAGGGCTCATCCTCTGAGACAGGTGGGTCCTCCCACCAGCCCCACCCGACGTGCCCGGGGATTCCTGCTGAGTATCTGCACAGCACACCCATGACCTAAACTCCACTTGAGCTGTAAACGGCACTGCAACTTCACTCCTGTTCCCCTTTCTAGCTAGGAAATCACACATCTATCAAAGTTATCCACATAATGTTTTCAGTATCGCTTGTGTCATGAATAACAAAAGACAACAATGTACAATTAGACTTTTTTTCCCCTCTGTGAATCTGAATACTACCTAGTCCTACAGTAAGTAAGAGCCACCTAATCATAACCCCGTAAATGCTGCCGTTTTCTTCAGTAAACTTTTTAAAGGTATAACATACCTTAATAACCACTAAGTAACCACCACCCAGATTAAAATGTATGTATGTTTTAACAGGTTTTTAACCTTTATAATTAACCTATACCTAAAACAAGGAACATAAGTATAAAACAATTACAGTTACAGGACAGAACGTAAGTGTGTCAGCCTTAACAGTGTAAAGTAACCATAGACAGACTGAAATCTAGGGAAGTGAGAGAAGGAGGTAAGCACAGGAGGGCAGCTCTGGCTGCTTCAAGTTTGTAAACTGAGAGACAGAGGGATCTGCTTTACTAGTTAGGGCTATACTGACAAGCATTAAAACATTAAAGCCATACAAGGTGGTTACCGCTGGGGAACAGGGCTGAGAGCAAGGCACAGGTGCCTTTCTTTTCATCATCTGTACCCTTCTATTGCCTTTTAAAAACTGTATACGTTATCTTTTGAATATTTAAAAATTAAATGTAAAATCTTACCCATATAAAAGTGTACATCATAAACAGGTAATTATGTAAAAGCCTTACCTCCACTACAGCTGCATTTTTTTTGTCCTGAACAAACACTATTGGCGGCATGTTCCTCAGGGTCTGCTGGGACATCAGAAGGTGCCTGGAGAGAGAAAGAGATTTGTGCAGTCACAGGTGACACTTGGTGGAGGGGTGACGACGCCAGAAACAGAAAATGTCATCTCACAAAGAGGTGAGGCATCATTTTTTAAAATTAATTAATTAATACACTTATTTGGCTGCATTGGGTCTTCATTACTGGGCGTGGGCTTTCTCTAGTTGCAGCGAGCGGGGGCTACTCTTCGTTGTGGTGCACAGGCTTCTCACTGCGGTGGCTTCTCTTGTTGCGGAGCATGGGCTCTAGGCACGCGGGCTTCAGTAGTTGTGGCACACAGGCTCAAGAGTTGTGGCTCGTGAGCTCTAGAGGGCAGACTCAGTAGTTGTGGTACACGGGCTTAGTTGCTCCGCGGCATGTGGGATCTTCCCGGACCAGGGCTCGAACCCATGTCCTCTGCATTGGCAGGCGGATTCTCAACCACTGGGCCACCAGGGAAGCCCTGAGGCATGAGTTTTGCTTATCACATTCTTCAAAGATGAAAAGTCTTCCTTAGCCAACTGCCACATTTCAACAGGCATACAAAATGCATGATCACGATTGTTTTTAATTCTCTAAATGCAACTTCTGAGATCCTTATAAATAGTCTGACGTGAACTTGGGACATTCCTGGGCATCACTGTGGCCTTGGGCTCTGTGGTTTGGGCACCAGCAACCTGCCAGCACTTCCGTCCCTCCATCCGGCCGACACTCATCGGCAACAGCGCCACAGAAGTGTGGCTGCCGGCCGTGCTTCCCAGACGTCAGACACAGAAACGATCTTCATATTACCCATCATGCAATACATGCAGATCCAGGGGCGACAAGTATCCAGTGAAAATACTGCTGTGACACACAGCACATCTGCTCAGTGACGCAGTTATGGGAAAACCTTTACACTAAACCTTGGTGATCAAAAGAATTGGGAAAAGGGACATTCTGTTCAACTGAATTTTCTGTTACCTAAAAACTAATCAGAAAACAGCAGGAACTCCAGTCCCGAGGGCTGCTCTGCCAGGTCTCTCTGCATCTTTAAGACTGAGGAGAAAACTGAGTAGCTTCTTTACTCTCAGCCAGCTCAGTGGTTCTCAAAATCCTTGGTCTCAGGACCCCCTTTATACTCTTAAAAATTACTGAGGACGCCAAAGACCTTTTGTTTATGTGGGTTACATCTACCAATATATGCCAGACTAGAAATTAAAGCTGAAAATATGTATTTATTAATTCATTTAAAGTAACTTTTTTTTTTTTTTTTTTGCGGTACGCGGGCCTCTCACCGTTTTGGCCTCTCCCGTTGCGGAGCACAGGCTCCAGACGCGCAGGCTCAGCGGCCATGGCTCACGGGCCCAGCCACTCTGCGGCATGTGGGATCTTCCCGGACCGGAGCACGAACCCGCGTCCCCTGCATCGGCAGGCGGACTCTCAACCACTGCGCCACCAGGGAAGCCCACTACTATATTTTAAAAGAAATTAATGAGAAGAGTGGCATTGCTTATGTAGTTGCAAATTCCTTTAATACCTAGCATAATGGAACAGCTGGATTCTCATCTCTGTTATCTGTATTCAATCTGTTGTTATTTTGCTTAAAATAGAAGAAAATCTGGCCTCACACAGATCTGTAACTGAAAAGTAAAGAGTATATGAACAGCTTTTCAGAAAAGTGTAGATCTTCTTTGATGCTACCCAAGAACTCAACAAAGAGTAGTTTATTAAAGATTGCAATGTGGAATCTGAAACCAGATCCATGAACAGCGTTCTCTGTACATGAAAATCCACTGGCCCTCTTGCCCTTTGAATCGATGTCTCCCTGTGTGTGATTTTGTAACCTCATGCCTTGGTCTTTTAGAAAATACTGGTTCAGCAGGTCACACAGATTTTCAGAATGATGATGTATTTTACAATACGTCACCTCCAATCTCATCAAAAGGGTCTTATGTACCATGAGGCTGTCAAACTCAGAGTGGTGGATACAATACAGTTTTCTAAAATTCTGATTTTCACTGAAAGCTTAAATTTTACCACTGGCAACAAATATGGTCAGTTGTGCCCCTGAAGTGACAGGTTCGCTTTGCTCACTTTGGAGAAAATGTCTGTCCTATACCCACATCCGAATAACCATAGTTATGAATGGATAAAGAAGATGTGGCACATATATACAATGGAATATTACTCAGCCATAAAAAGAAACGAAATTGAACTATTTGTAATGAGGTGGATAGACCCAGAGTCTGTCATACAGAGTGAAGTAAGTCAGAAAGAGAAAGACAAACACCGTATGCTAACACATATATATGGAATCTAAGAAAAAAAAAATGTCATGAAGAACCTAGGGGTAAGACAGGAATAAAGACACTGACCTACTAGAGAACGGACTTGAGGATATGGGGAGGGGGAAGGGTAAGCTGTGACAAAGCGAGAGAGAGGCATGGACATATATACACTACCAAACGTAAGGTAGATAGCTAGTGGGGAGCAGCCGCATAGCACAGGGAGATCAGCTCGGTGCTTTGTGTCCACCTAGAGGGGTGGGATAGGGAGGGTGGGAGGGAGGGAGACGCAAGAGGGAGGAGATATGGGAACATATGTATAACTGATTCACTTTGTTATAAAGCAGAAACTAACACACCATTGTAAAGCAATTATACCCCAATGAAGATGTTAAAAAAAAAACAGCATAACCATAGCTGGTCTACTTGTTCTTTGAAGTGAAGTGTCTACTTTGGGCCACAGTCAGCAGCTGCAGTGTTCCGAGACAACCACCAGCGTCTCGCACACTTCCCACCACAGATACTAAAAAGATGTGCCAAAGGGCCGGGATACGCGTCACGGACACGCTTAAATAAAGCTGGCGGTGCACTACCGCAAGCGTGAGCGGAAGCCACAATGACCCAGGACATCTGGGCCAGCAGCTTTACCCCCACAGCTTCAGTACAAAATGTCAACGCGGTGGGAACGGAAAACCACACCTCATTGTGGAGAAGCTCTCACTTCATCAACCTCCCCCTACAAAGGACCCGGGATCACACTTCAAGAACAGCTGACCTAGGTTATGGCTTACATGAAGGCGTTAAGTTCTGCTCTGAGATTCAACAAGATGCTTCCCAAATTTTCCTTAAAAGCAAAAATAGTGGACAAAACCAGCTGGAGGGCAGGGTCAAGGAGAGGCCTCACCTCATGTGCGCAGCGCTCCTCTGCAGGACGGCCTCCACGTTTGTGTTTTGAGCCTCAGAGACAGTCGTCCTCCAGAACACGCGGCAGGTGGAGAAGTCTGAAGTCAGAGAGACCTGAGCCCAGCCCCAATTACTCTCAGCTCACCTGGGCTCCTGGAGACAGAGCGCGTCAGGAGAGGCGCACTAACTCATGGGCAGTCCTGGCTTCAGGCTCCCACTGCCAGGGCCAGCGCCCCAAGCACACCACTGGGGACGGGGGAAACGTCCCCTTCCCTGGGCGGAGCCCAGCCTCAACCCACGCACAGCAATGCCTCAGCTGTTGCTACTGCCCCTCCTCCTTTCCCTCTGGCTGCACGCACTCTGCTCTGGGGGCACAGACGGCAGAAGCTGCCTCCCGTGTCTTTACACCAAGATGAAGGCAGATCATCCACCACTCACCTGACCCCCAGACCTTCAGACACCCCACTTCATCACTTACTGGGCTCTGAGCACCCTCGGTGCTGTCTGGCCAAACACCACCTGTGCACAGCGAGACACCTGCTTTTGCACCCCACAAGCACCTTCCTCTCCTTGATACCCAGACGGCCACACTGAGCATCCCTTCCACCTTTTCTAACTGTCAGGCGACGACAGAGGCGCGAGGCCCACAGTCCCTCCCTGGCCCCGAGGCCTACCTTGGACAGCTCCACATTCAAGTCGCAGAGCTCCTGGCTCACTTCCGGGGTGCACAGCAACTCAGTCAGCGCTTTGTAGAGGAGGCCGTTCAGGGCCCTCAGGCGCACGTGGTCTTCCCTTCTGGCTCTCTTGGAGGTGCTCTTTGTCAGGGATGCCAACTGAGACGGCTTGTGAGTCTCCGTTAAGAAGAAAGGCAGACACACAGGCAACATTACAACTGTACATAAACTTGTACTAACTAAGGATAAAGGTCATTCTCGGCCATCTTAGTTTTCATGAAGATACAGTTTCTTTTACAGACCAGGACCCTTCTAGATTTTACCTACCATGGCTTAAAGATCAAGAGTATTGCCAAGCATATATTTTTTTCCAAAAAAAATTTTACTGAAATATAATCCACACAGCATAAAATTCTCCCTCTTAAAAAGTACAATTCGAGGGGCTTCCCTGGTGGCGCAGTGGTTGAGAGTCCACCTGCCGATGCAGGGGACGCGGGTTCGTGCCCCGGTCTGGGAAGATCCCACGTGCCATGGAGCGTCTGGGCCCGTAAGCCATGGCCGCTGAGCCTGTGCGTCCAGAGCCTGTGCTCTGCAACGGGAGAGGCCACGGCAGTGAGAGGCTCGCGTACCGAAAAAAAAAAAAAAGTACAATTCGGTGGTTTCTAGTATATACAGTGTATTTTTTTCTATCAAGAACCATTCATTACATAAACTCTCACAGTACAGGTATATTTCAGAGATACTGCAGGTTCATTCCAGACCATCGCAATAAAGCAAATATGACAATAAAGTGAGTCACATGCATTCTTTGGTTTCTCAGTGCATATAAAAGTTATGTTTACACTATACTGTAGTCCATTAAAGTGTGCAATAACAATGTCTCAAAACAATATACATACCTTAATTAAAAATATTGCTAAAAAATGCTAACATCACCTGCTAATGCAGGGTTGTAATAAACCTTCTGTTTGTAAAAAACACGGTATCTGGGAAATGCAATAAAACAAGGTATGCCTGTGTATCTACACATATCTGTTATACACACACAAACTGAATGGACATTACCACATTAGAATTTGATAACAGATACGACATCCCGTAAATTTTGTCTTCTTTTTTCTCCGGCCGCACTGTGCGGCATGTGGGATCTTAGTTCCCTAACCAGGGATCGAACCCACGCTCCCTGCAGCGGAGGGTTAACCACTGAACTGCCAGGAAGTCCCCTAGTGTCATTTTTTTTTAAAGGTAAAAATTCTGTGGTTCCAGTGTATCTACTCCCATCTCTACAGAACTTGTCCCCTCCAATATTGAAATGGAAGGGCTGGAGTGCTGCCGACTTTTGGAGCCTCACACCCACCGAGATTCTCAAGTGGCTCATCCCTACTACTCTATACTTACCAAGTGAGAGCCCAAGGAAGGACCTTCATACCAAAACTTCTTCCTATGGGGAGAAAATAAGAACTATGCTGGATACTGACGGCAAATAAACTAAGAAAGAGTTACAAAAGCTAACATCATAACTGTTTCTAAGGGGCTAGCCCTGGACATAGAAATTAGGTTACTAGGGGCCTAAAAGATTTAGATACCCAATGAACAGCAGCACGGGTTGTGGGGACAGACAGACAACAGTTTCAGTTCAAGCTCGTAACTTTTACCTAAAGTCTACCTCTAGTCCCAAAGGTAGAGAACGAGGACCTTAAAAACACACCTACCAAACTGCACATGAGCACTGTCCTCTACTGAATAAAGCTGTTTCCCAGGGGAGGGTTAACGACTGATACCGCCACACATCAACTGGGACTGAACAGCTAAGTAAACAGGAGGCAGATGGGGGATCCAGGCCCCTCACTATTGCAGACAAGCAAGGGAAGGAAGTGAGAATGATTCGTGTGCTAGTGGATTAGGGCTGGAGATCAGTACAAACTCAAGTTTCACTTACTACAGCTACAGGTGGTGACACACAGAAACGTTTCTAGATAAGCACAGACACAGGGATTAACATAAACACTATTTTTTTTTTGCTTTGCCAGCTGAAAGGGTCTAAAAGACAGACACCCCAGTAGCAATAAACATACTAAGCTCTCAGATCATGGTTTCTGACCCCTGTTTCCAATAAAGGAACCAGAGCTCCTTGGAGAAATGGCGGATTCTAGGGCCGAGGCAACCTGTGGTGCCAGAAAGTAAGGAAGTGCTAAAAAAAAAAAAAAAAAAGGTTTCTAATTGAAAAACTACTCCAAAACCCCATAACAACGGGGTGTGTCAAAGGGATATAGGAGCCACCTGAAAGAGCTCGCAATGGTCAAAGCTGGAACAACTCGAGCAAAATTAAGTAGTACTGGATTATAACCCGTGAGTCCATCCTGATGAGTTAATAAATGAAGAGACACATCTCCCCTGCAAAATTTTGAATAATTCATGAATTTCGAATAATTCCCCACTCCTTAGGTGTGAGCTGCATATGGTGACTTCCCCCCAAAGAAGACAATATGGAACTGGGGGGCTGGGCGGTAACTTTACAGTGGCTAAACCTGACAGACACAGATGACCTCAGTCAGTCATCAAGACCAACATCAACAGTGATACACCATGTTGAGAGCATGTGTGTGTGTCCACAGGATGTGATGAAAATGGCACTTTACACCTGTGGTCTTCCTCCCCCAAACCAAACCCCAGTATACTCAAGAGAAAAACATCACGCCAATCCCAACAAAAGGGCATCCTACAAAATATCTAACCGGTACTCTTCAAGCTGTCGAGGTCATCAAAACAGGGACAGTTAGAAACTGCCACAGTCAAGAGGAGCCTAAAAAGATGACGACTAAATGTAATGCGGCCCTGGATGGGATACTGGAACAGAAAAAAGACGTTAGGGAAAAACTAAGGAAACGTGAATAAGACATGGCCTTTAGTTAATAATCATGTATCAATGCTGGTTCATCAATTGTAACAAATGTGCTGCACTAACATAGGAGGTTAACAGAAGGGAAACAGTGTGCTTATATGGGAACTCCACTCATCTTTGCCAAATTTTCTGTAAACCTTAAACTTTTAAAAAAGTGTATTAAAACAAAAACATACATATATACATATCTACAATTGAATTAAAATGATATGAAGTCAACATATTTTATTATACTTATCTCTCGTCATAAAAAACCTATCGTGACAAGCTTTCTTTATTCCTCAAATTAACCCCACAGAAAAAGCACTAATATGGAAAGGAAATTCTTCCTTCTCTCTTTATGTGATGCAACTACTCCCCCGAAAAACGCTTCTAGTAACAAGAATCATCACCCTTCAGCACCTGTGGGGAATTGGTTACAAGACCCCCAAAGATACCAAAATTGAGGATGCTCAACGCGCTGTATTTGCACATAACCTCCGCACACCCTCCCGGATACATTAAATCATCTCTAGGTTACTTAATGCTACGTAAATGTTGCCAGCAAGGCAAGTTCAGGTTTTGTGTTTTAGAACTTTCTGGAGTTTTTTCGGAACATTTTCGATCCGAGGTTGGTTGAATCCGAGGATTGGGAACCTCGGACCCAGAGTGGACTGTAAATGTATACATCACTTTGCTTCATAAATTCATGATGCACTCTTAGCTTTTAGGACACTTAGAACTTTACCGTCACAGCTGTGTGAAAGAACAGAAAAAAGGTTGGGTGGGAAAAACGTTAACTGTCAGAGGTGGGCTCTCTGGTGAGCTTTCAACAGCCATTAACCTAACAGGCAGCGGCTGCGCTTACTGACGCGGCTGGGAGCTCTGGCGCCGGCCAATGCGCCGGCGGTGGAACCCCTGCGGACCCCCCGCCCCGCCGAGCGCCCCGCTCCACGAAGCCCCCCGCCCGCGGACGCCCCGCCCCGCCGAGCCTCCCGCCCGCGAAGCCCCCGCCCCGCCGAGCCTCCCGTCCGCGGAGCCCCCACCCCGCCGAGACCCCCACCCGCGGAACACCCCGCCCCGCGGAACACCCCGCCCCGCGGAGCCCCCCGCCCCGCCGAGCCTCCCGCCAGCGGAACCCCCGCCCCGCCAAGCCTCCCACCCGCGAAGCCCCCATCCCGGGCCACCGTCCCCGGAGCTCCCGCCCCCACTCGGGTAACAGTACTTGGTTTTCGAAGCAAATTTCTTGAGTAGGTTCTTGCCGCAGGAGACAGGCGAGCTGTGCAGACCTCGAGCGCCGCCCAGAAGGAGCCCCACATGGAGACCCCCGGCCCCGCCGAGAGCCGCCCACATCTCAGCCGAGCGACGGCCTACCGGGTGCCGCGAGGCGGGCTGAGGTTGGCAGTGAGACGTGGGGCGGGGAAACGCCGGGCGGAAAGACGTGCAAACGGAACGACGTGAGGCGGCTCGGGGCGACGTGCGGCGAGGCGACGTGCGAAGTCGCCGGGAGACTGTGGGCGGGACGAAAGGACGAGGCGGCATCTGGAGGACAGGTAGGCGGGACGTGAAGCGGCGGGGCGGAGCGACGTGCGGCTAGGGCCGAGGACAGGCGTGACGACGCGTGAGGAAGGGGTGGCTAGACACGGCGTGGGTGGGGTAGTAGGCGGGGCAGGGTGACGTAAAGGACGGGACGCCTGTGGGAGGGGCCAGACGACACGTGGTGGAGAGCGGGGCCTGATGACGTAACTGAGGAGCGGGGACGGGACGTGATGACGTTTGTGCGGGGGCAGGGCCAGCTGGTGCGTGGGCGGAGCGACTGGGCCACGCACCCGTCGTACTCCCACGGCGAGCTGGGTTCAGCTAGATGCTGCCGAGTGCAAGGGAGGTTGCGACTCTGTGGCGGGGAAGCGCACAAACCACCCGGATGCGGAGATTGCGGAGCGAGGAATACACTTTAGGGAAACGCACGAAGCTAACAGAGAAGGGTGCATTTCAACTCCCTTGCCACGGAATATCAAATGAAGAGCAGGGAGGTAAGAGGTCTTAACTGGGTGGGCGTCCCGGAGCAGAGCTCCTTCTGCCTGCACCACTAGGAAGGACTCGAGTCCTCTTTACGCTGCCAGTTCGTTTGCTCACTTCCTATAATACCTCCTCACCAGTCTACGTGGAGAAAGACACAGCTTCCAAACTACTCCAGAAAAGAGGCATAGTCACCTCAGACCCCTCTTCATGGTCATCCCTGATAATTCCATACTGGGCATTGACAGTGGGGACTTTTTTTCCTATAGCAGCCCCAGCACTTAGAACAGGACTTGGCACGTAGAAGGTGCTCAGTAATCCTTTTTTTTTTTTTGAATGATTGAAACAAATGGATAGTGATTAGAGTATCAGGGGGACTATGTAATCCAATAAAGTATCAGAATTTATCAGGATCGAAAGCAACATAGCTCACTGGGAAATCCGTAGACCTAGTGCAGGCTTTTGGACTTTGGACAAGTAATTCTCTGTGCTCAGCTTCATTACGAATCATAACAACATAACTTCCCTCATACAGCTGCCTTGAGGATGAAGTGAGAGTGTAAGGAAAGCATTTAACAAACTCTCAACGGGTGGTAACTATGATTACTATTCCTTAAGTTTTTCATCTAAGTAGTATTAATTCAATCTATATAATGGACTCTTAACATACAAAGTAAGTGTTTTTTTCCATTTAATCTGCCATGTTTTCATCCCATTGAATTCTCAGCCCACATAAATCATTTAAATAGCACTTCATTAGGAATAGGAAGGCCATTGAGAGAAGCCAGGATGCTTTCAACCAAATTTTCCATTGTCGTCTTGCTTGATGAGTTGCACTTCCAATGTGAGGTGTCAGAGTGACGTTCTTCAACTCCAACAAAGGATCTCTGAAATACAGATTAATTGAGGAAAACTATTCAGAGTTGTTTCGTTTCTTTAATGTCATGTTATGGTTTCATATCCCCTACGCTGAGATGGGGAAGGCTGTGGGAGCCTTATGGCGTACTCTTAATGACACCTAGGTATGACCACTGCTCATCTAACCCTGGTTTGGGTGACCCAACATTTCTGGGTGTAAAATACGTATCCTAACTGCACCCAGGCCATTAGTTCACAATTGCACAACATGCATGATGGATTAAATGATACTGACCCACAGGACAAGAAAGGGCCTTGGGGAATTAGGCGTTGATCTAGGCATCATGGGACAAGCTGAATGTGCCTTTAATGGGAATAGCATTCAGAGGGGAAAGATTTATTAACTAGAATTAGCAGATCAGAGGGAGCTCTCGTCCAGGAAGAAGGCAAAGGATGGGAGTTAGCCTGGAAAGATAATGAGGTTTTAGTGAAGTGGGTCAGGCAGACTCAAGCATAATGATGGATAATATTAGCACCCAGGATTGGGAAAGTGCTATGACCTGGCCCAGCGGGCATCCTGACTATTTTAATAGAGGCCAAAGTAGACATGTGGCAGTGGTCCCCCATCATAGATACTGAGGCTCAAGGGGCACACCCTTGAGAATCTTACAGACCCCCAGACCTATGGAAGTTCTCTGGGGGCACCTGTAATTTATATCAATGCAGTTTGACTGCCCTCACCTCCAGGAATGACTGAAGTAAGACATATCCTGTGGTACAGTTAGCAGTGGTAGAAACTATTCTGAAAAACACTCATCCTCCCCTTATGAAGGAGGTGGGTCCTACTATATAACATCACACGCTGGAAAACAGTACAAGGGTGCGAACTGAGACAGGGTGACTGGCTTTGTCCCAACTGACTTGGAACCCAGAAAGAACTGAATCACGGCCAACTGTACAACACCTGCCCATAATAATATCTGGTGTATAGGCAAGAGACAATTTTGTTGAGAAGGCATAGCAAATACCTCTGCAATTGTTATCGATTTGTTATGTAATGAAACTGCATTGTACCACGACAGTATTGCAATATGGTATAACACTGGCGTTGTTGGTAAGATTTAAGTACCTCATGTAAATAAGTCAGATGATAATACTGACACTGACGATCAATGGGAAATGACTGGCCTGAGGAATACTGGATTTAGGTCAATACCAGCTAATTTATATACTAAATAGTGCTACACAAGTTCATCATAATGTACAAATAGTGGTAGCTCAAGGGGTTGGGGGGAACAAGTAATCATATTGGTACAAAAATACAATGGGTTAGTTTCTTTAAATCTATCCCTGCCCCACATTGGCTCCTCCAAATGTTAGGCGAAGTCATACTGTATCTGTCATATAAATACTGTAATAAATGTAGATAATCCAATAAACATCATTTTGCTCTGAGACAGCTAAGGCCAAGGGCCAGTGGCTGGCCTGTGTAGTAAAGAATTAACTCAGCAGGCAGGCTTGGAGTTCTTGAACCCTGCACATTCCAAAAATAGGACTGGCCTTTGACTGGCCTCTGGAAGATAACCTGTGAGCCCTTGAGATATACTGCCTGGTAAGAGTGTCTTATACTTGGGGCCTTGAGCAAAGCCAGATAGTTTATGCTAGTGATTTAATTTGTGGTGAATACCTGTTTTTGTTCGCCTAGGGCTCTAGGCCAATCTGTATCAGTTTGACCTCTGCAGGGTCTGGAGACTACGAAGCTAGTGTCAGACATGTGGGCACTCCACACCTACATGACTGACCCCCTGATACCAACGCTGGGATGAGCTTCCCTGGTTGGAAATACTTAACGTGTGTTGTCACACACCATTGCTGGAGGTGGTAGCACTGTCCCCACAACTCCATTGGGGGGACAACTGGAAGTGCAAGCCTGGTTCTCGACTCCCCTATGAGTTTTCTCCCTTTGCTGATTTTAAACTATATCATTTCACTGTAATAAACTGTAACTGTGAGTAGAAAAGCTTTTCTGAGTTCTGTGAGTCTTGCTAGCAAATCATTAAGGCTGAAGGTGAACTTGGGGACTCCTGGCGCTATTGGCAAATGAATTTTTTCATTTTAAAATAATATACAGGGGGCTTCCCTGGTGGCGCAGTGGTTGATAGTCCGCCTGCCGATGCAGGGGACGCGGGTTCGTGCCCCGGTCCGGGAGGATCCCGCATGCCGCGGAGCGGCTGGGCCCGTGAGCCATGGCCGCTGAGCCTGCGCGTCCAGAGCCTGTGCTCCGCAACGGGAGAGGCCACAGCAGTGAGAGGCCCGCGTACCGCAAAAAAAAAAAACACAAAACACAGTAAATCCTTTTGTAAAGCAAAGAATACTTATGTAGTATGACTAAATAACCACAGGTTTCCTACTTTTTAAATTACTTTTTTCACAGTAAGTGGCATCAAAATGTCTCCCTGAAAAACCAAGATGAAAACTCAGACCTATCTGATAAACATACAGATTAGAAATTAACATGGGATCTGAATATAAGTTATTCATAAAATAGTTGTTAAACCTCTTGGCCACAAAAATGATTTCACATGGGACACTGGGAGCGCATCACCTATTAGAATAAACTAAGCTTTGGGATATAACCCTAGTATTTGCCTTGTGACTTGTGAGTAAAAGTTCATTTTAGCAGGCAACAGGGGTGATAACATGACTTCTCCATTTTTCAGTAAGTTGACAACTGTCTAAAATGGTCATGCTTCTTTATTTATATTGAAATTATTTTTTGTTCTAGATTAGTGGCTCTCTTATTTGGTCTTTACATTCTTAAAAATTGAGAACCCCAAAGAACATGTGTTTATGAGGGTTATGCCTATCAACATTTATTGTATTAGAAATTAAAACTGAAAAAAATTTAATACAATCATACAGAAGCACACATTTCATTAGCTGTCAGAGTGATGATGTCATCACATGTCCTTAAGTCTCTGGAAGACTCCACGGTACACTTGTGTGAGAAAACATGAGTGGAAATAAATAACATCTTATAGTATCATGAAAATAGTTTTGACTTGGGAGCTCCTCTCTACTTGCTAGATAGGATGCTGCCTGATTCATGAATTATCAAATAAATCTAGTTAGACCTTTAAAAAGAAAAAAAAAATTAGTTTTGACTTCACAGACCCCCTGAAAGGGTCTCCAGACCACATTTTGAGAAACTCTGCTCTGAATAAATTATTGTTTTTCTCAGAAATGTCTGTAAGTTCTATGACCAATCTTGATAAAACTTAGGTATTAAATTTGGTCATAATGTCAAACATTCATCTGACAGTAATTTGCTTACTGGATAGAAATCAAAGCTGGAGGAATCAAAGTTAGGAATAGCTGGTTTAATGAATGACAGCATCAAGATTCCAAATAAGTGACAGACCAAGACTCCAGTCCCAACAGGCTGGATCACTGGGTCAAAACACACAAGCAAATGAAATTAAATACAAGTAAATGTAAAATTCCACACATAAACTTAAAAAACAATTGAGAGAATAACAATTTCAATTTTAGCTGACTAAAAACTTAACGAGTTAAAGGTGCAGCGAGGCTTTGAGGAAGGGTGCTGCCAACACAACCTTTGTGTGATTTCTCTACAGTGGTCAGGCCACAACATGAATACTGTGTGCCATTCTCAGGAGCACATTTTCAGAGGACTGTAGAATCTAAAGTGCTGGAAGGCAAGGTGTCTGG